ATCCCAAACAAAATCCTGCTTCTGCTCTCCCATCCCATTCCATCCCACCCCAATCCTGCACTGCCATCCCAATCCCAATCCCAACCCCAACCCCACAAATCCCAATCCCACAAATCCCGGATCTCACCTTCCCCCTTCACCTGGAATGCTCTGGGCTGGCTCACAGTGCTCAATCCCACAAATCCCAATCCCATTCCCAATCCCACAAATCCCAATCCCAACCCCACAAACCCCAATCCCAACCCCACAAATCCCATTCCCAGCCCCACAAACCCCATTCCCAGCCCCCCAAATCCCGGGATCTCACCTTCCCCCTCCTCCTGGAATGCTCTGGGCTGGCTCACAGTGCTCAATCCCAATCCCAACCCCAACCCCATTCCCAATCCCACAAATCCCAATCCCAACCCCACAAATCCCATTCCCAGCCCCCCAGATCCTGTCTCTCACCTTCCCCCTCCTCCTGGAATGCTCCGGGCTGGCTCACAGTGCTCAACCCCATTCCCAATCCCACAAATCCCAATCCCAATTCCACAAACCCCAATCCCAACCCCACAAATCCCATTCCCAGCCCCACAAACCCCATTCCCAGCCCCACAAATCCCGGATCTCACCTTCCCCCTCCTCCTGGAAGGCTCTGGGCTGGCTCACAGTGCTCAATCCCAATCCCAACACCATTCCCAGCCCCCCAGATCCTGTCTCTCACCTTCCCCCTCCTCCTGGAAGGCTCTGGGCTGGCTCACAGTGAAGCACTGCATCACCTCGTAGCGCTGCCGCAGCTCCGCGTTCTCGGAGCCGCCCTCGTCCGGCGGCCGCACCAACATCCGGCACTGGAACGTGTGGCTGCCCCGGCGCGACGGCTCCTGCGGCCACGGCACCCCGTTCACTGGGAATAAAAACAGGGAAAAATGGGAATGAGACACTCGGGGTTCCCAAAAATCCCAAAAAATCCCCGGGGTTTGGGGATCCAGGGCCGGCATCCGGCACTGGAACGTGCGGCTGCCCCGGCGCGACGGCTCCTGAGGCCACGGGACACCAATAACTGGGAATAAAAACGGGAATGAGACACTCAGGGTTCCCAAAAATCCCAAAAAATCCCCGGGGTTTGGGGATCAGGGCCGGCACCCGGCACTGGAACGTGCGGCTGCCCCGGCGCGACGGCTCCTGCGGCCACGGGACACCAATAACTGGGAATAAACACCGGGAAAAATGGGATTCAGGGAATGGGAATTCCCAAAGATCTCTGGGATTTAATTCCCAAAATCCCTGGGATCTAAGGGACTCGAAATTCCTGAAAATCTGTGGAATTTAAAC